GGCCCATAAGGCCCGTGAACAATAAACTATAAAACCCAAAACCCTAGAGTTTAGCGGGCAGATTATACTTTTGAATGCTCTGACTTTGAGGCTTGACCTAGGAAGAATCGCTAGTCCACCCTTTGGCCGGAACAGATTTATTATTTAAATTTTGTGAAAATCTATTAAGAAATACTTATGTTTAAATTTTGTCACTGATATAAATAATATTTTTTTTCTTTTTTCTTTTTTTTCTTCTAAAAATTAGTTATATATATTTTTATTAGTCTCTTCAAAGGTTTTTTCGTTTCCTTCTAAAAAATTATTGGTCCTCTATATTTTTTTCTTCTCCATTTTTTTAATTTATTCTCCCTCCAAAATCCACATTCTCCAATTATAAAAAAAATCTCATAACTTTTTTTTTCTCTAAAGTAACTCATCTGAAATAATTTTGTTGTTAATATTTATATAATAATTTCTTTAATCATGATTTTATAAAATATATAGAATTATTTCAATTTTTTAAATTTATGATTCTTAATTTTTAATCATGATTATATATATAATTAATTTATTATATTTTATCAATAATTTTATTTTTTTATAAAATAAAATTAGATAAATAGTGACTAATAATTTTTTTATTATTTTTAATATTGTTGTAATGTATATTGTCATTTTTAAAAATTATTTACTTTTTATATTTTTATTTGGCTTAAATATGTTTTATGTCCTGTAAAATTAAGGATTTTTTTATTTTGATCCTTGATTTTTTTTGTTAGTTTTTCATTATTCTAAAATTTGTAAACATTGTTTTTAATCCTTGTAAAATATAAATTTTGGTTTAATTCGTGTAATATATTTTTCTTTAATTTTTATCTCTTTAAAATTTAAAGTAACTATTTTTAATCCTAACAATTATTATAATGTAAATAAATAATAAATATTTTAAGAATCTATACGAATTTTTAGAGATATTAAACACTGATATGGTATTATTGACAATCAAATGTAACACTTAGAATGTTCACTTAATTTTTAAATAAATATTTTGGGACTAAAAATAATAGTTTCAAATTTATAAGGATGAAAAATAATGATTTTTTTTTACATAGCCTAAAATCAAAATCAACTAATTCTATAGAGATTAAAAATATTTTTAAGACTTTTATTTTATTTTCAATCAAAATTTAATTTTTAATTTTTAATTTTTTTTTAAATGGGATAACATCTTGTAAGTATTTAAATAATGACATATCTAAATACTTTAAAATTGTATAAGTGCTTGTTGCAATAATTTAATGAATTTTAAGCACTTGTATCATAAGTTTTTAGAGTATCTTCAATTTTTGCGGTGTATCTTACTAATAAACAACATAGTTTATTAGCAACTCTCATGTGTGATGACATTACATGAAATATTGTTTAAATATGTTTTTAATTCTTCATATTTAGAGTAAATTTGCTTTTGATTTCTCAAATTTAAAATTATTAATTTTAGTCCTATATTTTTTAAAAAAATTATTTTAGTCTCTCTGATCGCATATAACATATTTAAAAGTAATAAACTGAGACAATTATACAAAATCAATTGAATTGAATGTTATGTTTTTACCAATAGAGACAATAATAAGTAGATTTTATATGACAATATTTAATAAATTTCATTAAAAAAAATTTGAATACAAGACTAAAATAAGATTTTTTGAAATTAGAAGAACTAAAAAAAAAATAGTTTTAAACTAGAGAGACTAAAAATAAATTTACTTTAAATTTGAGGAACTAAAATATATTTAAGCCTTGATCATGGTAATTATATTAATTTTTTAAATTTTCAAAAATTAAAGTGTAAATAAAAAAATACTTATAAAAGTGTGAATTGCTTATAAAATCTCACCATTAAACAAAATTTATAAAAATATAGTATAAGTTACTTAAGAATTCTATAGTATGGTAGATCTCATTTTAAGTAAAATGAGATACACCACAACAATATATATTGGAGATGTTCTTTATTTATTAAATAAGATCTTAAACATATTATTTATCTAAATAGATCTAAATTGATGATGTGACTTAATAAGAAAAGAGAGCCCAGACAAAATGTTGGATGTTTAAAAATATAAGCTTCTTATTATAGACCAAAGGCTTATCACACACACTTGTATCTACAATGGTGAGATATTATTTACTTTAAGCCTAAACTGTCATAATTTTGTTTTTGGATATCATTCAAGAGACTTTTGACTAAAGAAAACTTTGTGTATATTTATAAATTCATGTTCATGCTTATATTCTACGGATATAAGACTTTGATTGTATCATAACAATCTTCTCACAAACAAAAAATAATGGTTTACTTCCTTGCAACAGTAACTAATCCATGAATATATCTAATAATGACTTATAGAGCTAGTCAAACCTTAAATACTTGTACCGTGACTTTATCATCAATTCACAATAATAAGACACGTCTCTTGATCCTTTATAATATCATAAAGACTTTCTTCGTACACGAACACAAAGCTAGGAAGACTTCCTTACATATGAAATCTCATTCAAATTTTAACTTTATTTTTTAAATTTTATTTTGATTTATTACTTAACGTGTTATATAATATGAAAAATATATGTTTATTTATCAATTATTATTATTTGAATATGATTCAACTATGATTATGATTAAAAAAGAAAGTAAGCATACGAGTTTTTACTAATTTACTGAACTATCTTCGGAACATTCATTTCAACGGATAATATTATGGTAAAACCATCGGCATATCTGAGTCCATGACCGGAATTGAGAGAATGTGTTTACGAAAATCATCTCTAAATAATGCTATACATCATTAGAGTTATTTATCGCCTTCTTAATGAGTTTTAACATCATTATGTTATACTACAGTATAAAAGATACTTCCTATTTTTTATAAAACTTTTAAAACTAATAAAAGAAATTATAATAATGGATAATTAATTAAAATATAAATGATTATGAGATGATATTTATAAAAATAAATAAAAAACTGTGATTCATAAAAGAGTAGTTAAAATAATAAAATTTAAAATTATATACACCAAAAGATTTAATCCCTTTATTATAACTAGCAACAAAAATGACACCGTGTCTATGTAAAAAAAAAGTGAATAGTTATTATTAAATAATTGAACAACTTTTTTAAGACATCTTTTCTTTTATCCTTAAGACATATATTATTAGATTAAAAATTAAAATATAAAATAAAAATATGATTATCTTTAAAAAAATGAACACCAAAAAAGTGTATCCTCATATATAGATATAGAATTATAGATTAATTTTAAAATTGTAGCATTTTGAATTTCTTCAAGAATTTAAAATAAGAAATTATCTATTCTAATTATTAATTAAAAGTTAACAATTAAAATTATAATAAAATTAAATGCTTACCTAATAAAATGAATTAGAAGGTAGATCAACTATAATGATTCACCATACATCAATATTAATATTAATCACCTTTAAATTAATAAGATGTTGTATGATATATTCTTATCCTTTATTCTCTTTATCTAATTTGAACTCTTCAGGAAAGAAGAGGAAGCTGTGGCCTGTGGGTGGCGACGAACTCACAACAACCAACAAAGGCACTATAAATTTGTGTACAATTTTAGTTGCTTAAGCTATGATTGGATTGGTGGTAATGGGTGGGATGAAGGAGTGGAATTGCTGAGATTAAAATTCTATTGTTTGTTTCTACAAAACCTTTTCAATTAAAAATATTAGACTTGTTTTAGTCTCTAAAATTTAAAATTTATGTTTTTAGTCCCTAAAGTATAAAAAAATTATTATTATACCTCTCAAATTTAAAATTATTTTTTTGATCCTTTTGATTTGAAACATGCATTTTTAACTCCAAAAAATATATAAAGTTATTATTTTAGTCTTTCAACTCAAATGTCATTAATTAATTTGTCATACATAATTTTTTTACTAGTGTCATTATTAATTAAAACATCACATTAAATCAACTAATACTGCAAAATTATCTTAATTATCAATGTCAATTATGTTATTATTAATACTACACAATTATCTTAATTTCTCACTATCAATTATGTTATTACTAGTGTTATTATTAGTAAAAATATCATATTAATCTAACTAATAATACAAAGTTGTTTTAATTTGTCAAAATCAATTATGCTATTAGCGGTCATGAAAAATTAAGATAATGTTTTTAAAATTATAAGAACTAAAATGACAAAATTTTAATTTGGAAGACTACAAATTTGAGGGATTAAAATAATAATTTATATATTTTAAGGTTTGGATGATCAAATGGATATATATAGTAATTAACACAATATTTTCTTTGAAATTACAAGAAATAAAAACAAAAAATTTTAATTTGAGGACAAAAAAATAATTACCCTAAGTTTGGAAAACTCTTTCACTTTTTTTTAGTTATTTTTCATTTAGTTAATCATGGTAACATAAACTAATTAGAATTAATGATAAGAATTAAAAATAAAAACTAAAATAAGCGTCAAGAATTTAAAAATAACAATAAAATCACAAAAGCTAAATCAAAATACGGTCTTAGGAATTTAAAACATTTAAACCTTATTTTTTGGTAATGTATTGTAAACAAAAAATAAAATAAAATTACACCCTTAAAACCGGAATGTTACTCATGTAAACTAAGAGTTGGGACTCGATGGATCTTCTAACTCCACCAAATCAACACAAACTTGAATCCAATTTAACAAGAAAATCAGCATTCTTATTACCTTCTCACAACGAATGAACAAGTATAAGATAAAACAGAAATGACACTTGTTTTGTAATTTTTTTTATCCGACACTTGTTATAAGATTAAAAAAAAATATTGTTTTTCATTGCTAAACACACCCTAAAAACTTAGAAACAGATCGGGCTTTCACAGAACAAAGAAAGGGGAAAGGGTCTTCATACATTTTTATCCTGGTGAGAGGATACAAAGTTTACTTTAAAATAATTCCATTCATATGCAAAACAAGTTTGAACCTTCAGAAATTGATTTTTTCTAGTCACATAACTGATAACTAATTATCTGAAACATTTAAATTATGATTCAATTTACACAAACAACATGGAATAGAAAGATAGATAGGTGTAAATTTTTCCTGCAACCTCCTGAATTTGTCTCTCTTCCAATTCCAGGACTCAATATCAAATCATATCATATCATGTACAAGCAAGAGTGTAATTAAGGCAGGCATTGTATGTAAAAATCTAAGGATCAGGTTGGCCAGCAATGGCGTCATCACTAGAGGCATAATCATCTTCACTCAGTTCATCATCACTGGAACTTTCCTCCTGAGCAGCTCCAATATCTTCTGGCTTCGCATATTTTTCACAATATTCTGTTCATTGGCTCAAAAAAATCAACATGGATAAAAGCAGGTGTATAGAATAAAACAACAGATTAAGATATAGTAGATACTATATATATATATATATATATATATATTTTTTTTTTTTCGGTCTTCAAACTAATGTCTCACTTGTGCTGAGTACTAGAATTAAATATACTGTAACATTAACATCTAGGTTGCTGCGACCATGATTTACAATACAGAAATACATGCCTATATGTGTAACCATTAATTTTCTTCAATGATCAAACCGTGCAAAGGAGAATGATACTAGTACCGGTATACCAATGCCACACACCAAATTAGAAGCTATAAATTTGGATGAATGACAAAACAAAAACATGGCCAATGAAATTGTGTTGTTGGTATTTTTCATGCATTGCTTCTGAAGCTCAGGATATCTTCCAATTATTTGATTGTAAATCTACTTCACATTATTTTGCTGGATATTTTGGTTCAACTTATTTCTCAGCTCAGGATATCTTCCAATTAGTTAATTATAAATCTCCTGCAAATTATTTTGCTGGATATTTTGGTTCAATTTATTTTTAACTGTGCATGTATGCTTCAACTTATTTTGAAGAAATAATCACTTGTTTTTGTTAGCTTTCTAAGATTTTTTTTTGAAAAATAAGCAATTATTTTCCACTATTCCAAACATGGGCTGGAACTCTGTTTGACAAGGATCTAAGATTCAACTGAAGCACAAGCAACATAGAAGTTGTATGACAGTAAATTCAAAATTACTTGCTTTGATCAGAAACTCAGACCCTGGAAATTGTTGAGTTTACATGTTAAATACTTTACATTAGCTCAGTTACAACCAAAATATTCAACATTATAGCATGGAAACACAAGGTATAATGTTACCATTTGAGTATTGGAATTCAGAAACTTTTCTTTGACACACCCAGTGTACAATAATTATTATTTTAGTGGGATTGATCAATGCCTATGCAAACAAGACATGAAATTTACTATTTTTCCAAACAGAAATGCTAGCAACACATCTTATTTAATGATTATCTCTCTTGATTTAGTGATTTTTAATAAATTTCAACCAATAGGATAGTTTGTGTTTAAAAGAGTATGTCAGAGAGTGTGTTCCTATCACTCCTCTGGTCAAAATCAAAAATTGAAGCAAGAAGGATGCGAGGCATGGAAAGATTGGTTAGATAGTTTAATTAAGCACTTGTTCAATTGTAAAGTAAGCTAAAATAAAGTTTTAACAAGGTAATAAGCCACATCCATAAGCCCAATTAATCTCTTCCAAATGCCATATATTTGCTTATAAAAATGCTAAGCCTTCTACATTGTCAGTTAGTTGCAAACTAAAAAATGAATTTATGTCAGTAGCTATAAATTATAAGTTGGTATAAAAGTCATGAAATTGAGTAGTCAAATTCCCTAGTAGCAAACCCACCAAAGCTCCCAATTGGAACCCCAACCTCAAGCTTCTACTAGCAGACTAAACTTGGACAAGTGTGTGGCAGCCAAAATGTACATTAGCAAGTGAGAACATAAACATTCCAAATCTGTTGAGAAGCATTGACAATTGTTGTGCTTCATATAATGATAGTATATAAGCTATTGAACAGAATTCCTTTTGCACAAACTTGTACCTTCAGAGCTTTTTATTTGCCAATTGTTCATATCTCACTCCAGTTGAAATTTGATGAAAAATGACTGTAGTTACAGTCAACAATAATGAAGAAACCTCTCACTATTAATATGGATTACCTAAGCATGTAAGAAGCATTCTAGTTTTATACTGTAGAAACTTGATAAGGATTACTACCTTTCACTCTTTCTTCATATGTAGCATGATCTCGCATCATCAAGGCAGCAGCATCACCATTCAATGGATCTGATGCATTGGGGTACAGAAGTAATTGAGGAAGAAACACCTCAAACACATTGACAAGGTCTGAAAGGAAATAAAAAAAATAATTCACCAAATTTTAAGTAGTGACTGTGAGTCAGTAACAAATCAAGGTTGAATCAGATGCAATGGCAAGTATGCTTATAACAAAATTCTTCAACAAACATTGCTTACCAAACATGGGACTCCAAGTCTGGTTAATAACATCTAAGCAAACAGAACCAGACCTAAAACATCAGAGAAAACCATATCAATGAGCTACTCAGTTTTGCAATGTGTGTCTGCAACAACCAACAAATTCCCATGGAGTACAATGGTGCTCCTTAAATATGAGATAAACAATGACTCAATGAAACTATGGCTGCAGAGAACAACTTACATCTCATCAACATTAGGATGAAAAATTTTGTTGACAAAACCAATAGAGGGAGACTTATAAGGATAAGCATCAGGTAGTTCCACTCTTATCTTCCATATACCACCTTGATAAAGACCTGCACATGATTCTCAGTAAAGTGAATGAAAAAAAAAGAGAGAGAGAAAATCAACCAGTCCAGTTCCACTTAAAGTTAACCAGCATAGATCCTTATGCAATTAATCTTCATTGAAGAAAGTGGACAAACAATTAAACAACAACATTTAAGTACAACACCAAAGTGGACACAAGCTTAATCCAGGGGTCAGCATAACCTGTTGACTGTTGATCCAAACACCCCACATTGAATTTAACCACAATAAGTCTATAAGTAAAGAAGAAATTTCAATGGAGACAGGAAAAATTGCACCAAAGAGAACACCCTCATCTCAACCATCTGATGAATAAAATAAAATAAAATAAAATAATAATAATAAAATAACACAAAGGGATGCACAAATTTACTGTCTTTAGGTCCATGAAATTCTACAAAGAACTCTTGCATGCCATCGTTGATCATCTCCACCTTGTAATCACTCATCATCCTGATTCACGTGAATCCAAGACACCCAAAATGGAAAAAGACAACAAATTTAGACAAAAAAAGCTTTTTCTGAAATCGAAAAAAAAATCGAAAAGATTACAGACAGCTTCATCAAGTCCATATCTCGGCGTTTGCTTGGGGAAGACATTGTTTCTCTATGTGTTTGTCTTTTATTCTTTGTGTGTGTGCTGCTGCTGCCTCACACAGAAACTCTGAGAGAATAAGATATATATAAGAAAGTGCGAGACGCCTTACTGCACAGTCCACAAACCCGAACCGGCTCAGACCTTAGTATTGCTAATGGAAAAATTTGTGACCTCTATACATAACAGCGCAGTAAGTTTTGAGTTACTTGAAATTAAAAATGTGAGGAAAAAGAAAAACGAAGAGAAAAAAAAGAAAAATGTTTTTATTCATTTTATTTTTTAATTTTGAAAGAAAAAGTTATAGAGATGACGATGACAATATTTTAGAGATATCCTTCCCATGTGCCTGACAGTTTGATACCTTTTAATTTGACCATTCATTAACAACACTTTATTATGTGCATGAATGACAACATTCTTGATCATTATGACCCATGGGAAGAGTTTTAATTTTTTTTAAAAGATTTATTTGACCATTTTTTTTCTTATAATAAAAACCAAGTCTGGTCAAAAAATTTCTTTATTTCAAGATGAGGAAAAATTAACAACATCAACTAAAATTTGCGGAAAAATTCTGTTATATTAGTAATGAAATGAGACATTTCATGTCCCTCTATTCTTAAAAAAAATATTTAAATTATATATTAGTGAATAGTTAATAATAAAATGCAAGTAGTTTGTAGTGTAATTTGTGGAATAATTTTTTTACGGCATTTTTAGAATAATTAAAAATGAAAATCAGGTCCTCAATTGTTTAAAGTCTAACATGATTTAACAAATTTAATAAAAATGTAAGATTTTAAGTTTTTAAAAAAATTTATTAATGTAAAAAGGTTAGAAATTAACTTATTTATCTGTATGATATTATAAAAAATAATATGTATATTATATTTTTAATAATATAATTAAATAAATAAATTTGTAATATAAAAAATTAAATTATCAATATTTATGATAGATTTATATGTTAATGTACATCAATGTACGTGAGTATCCATTAGTTGTTAATCTTATGTTAGTTTTTAAATTTTATTTTAAATTCTAAATTTTAATATTAATAAAATAAACTATTTTTTTCATCACGTAAATTTTAAAAAAATCATATATATTTAAAAATAAATTTATTAATTTATTTAAAATTTAATTTATTAATCTATTTAACATTATTAATATAAAATACACTATTAATAGATCAAATCAAACTTATAAAGATGTGGATTAAATTTATAAAAAAATTTATGATAGATAATAGATTAGATTTAAACTTTAATTTTATAATATATATTTAATCTATTTATTTAATATTTGACCTGACCTAAAGAAGTATAAAATTGAAGAAAAATATCTTGTAAAAAAAAAACTATAACTTTTGTTATAATTACATATTATTGATTATTTTGTTTAAATGTATTTAGTCCTGATTAGTCGGCCAGTACAATCCTAAAGGGATTACTTGCCAGCTCTCCTTGGTTACAAACCTAGCTTCACATGGAGGACTGTTTGGAGTGCTCGGTACTTGATCAAGGAAGACTTGAGGTGGAAGGTTGGTAATGGAAACAACATATCTATTTGGCTAGGACAGAGAGTGCTCAACTAGAAAGGGTGACTGATATACTGGATAAAGACAACATGATTGAAGTGTTGTTTGAATCACAAGACTGGGAAGCCAGCTATCATGTTCCAATTGTAAATGTTGGAAGCAGTGACAAAAGAGTGTGTAAGTGGAACTGTAATGTAGTTATTCTGTCCGATTGGCATACCACAATTATATAAACCATGTGTTGCAAGTGAAGCACCTTGGAGAATTGTAACTGCTCGGCCATTTGAAACCTTTTCATACCCACAGAACTTGAGGCTTCAGGCAAGGAGAGTGCATAACCCTATGTACTATGCGACAGTGAGATTGAGAATACATGTCATATATTTGTAGGATGTTCTCAAGCACAGAGTTATTGGCCAGCTAGTCATATTGGTGATCAAGTCAGGACTATCATGATCAAGTCAAAGGGTCTAAAGGATTTTTGTGATGAGAGTCATTAGTACATGCCACCAATTTCAGGATGTTGATTTCGTCAAAAGAGGTGTTGTATAGAGCCAAAGGCTGTTTAGGGGATTGGTCTCAGCAGAGGCAACTTAAGAAGTCCTTATTGACTACTGCAACAAAGTTGTAGCCAGAACACTGACAGTTTCTCGTGAATGGTGTGATTAAATATAATGTGGATCCAGGTCTGTTCAACACCAAAGGATATTTTGGAGTAGGATGTTGATACGTGATCACACAGGAGCATTCAATCATGAACAGAACAAGATGTTTTCAATTTGTTTCTGACTCTCATGATTTGGATATTGAGAACATGATTTTTGAATCCCATTTTCAAAGAATGATAAACAATATATTATTAAACCGCACAATGATGTCTCTAAATATAGGGATATCATACAATACTGTAAATCACTCTTTCTTAGTTTACCAAGTTATGGAATAAGCTTCATTTGTAAATTAGTAAATCTTGTAACTCAAAAGTTGACTAGAACTATAGATGGTTCTGATGGCCTTAAAGATTACTTTTATACGTCTTCTTGTATTTTTCAGCGGATCTTAATGAATATGAGTTAAATATGTTTTTATCCAAAAAAAAAAAAAAAAAAACTATAAATATTTTTGTTAAGGTTGAATGATCTGGTACTGTTAATATAAAAACTTTTACATTATTATCCAATTATGAATATATGAAAAGAAAATAATTTATATTAATTAAGAAAGTTAGTTTACATTATTTAATGTTGCTAATCTTATCTAAGAAATAACTTACCGTTCATCTCATAATAATCACAATTTTAGCATTTAAGTTTTTTTTTCAAAATTAATGATGTTTTTACTTTTTTAGTGTAGCATTAATTTTCTTTTTAATTTACCCTTTCATAAACTATTTCCTCGATTATTAATACAAGGAAAAAATCTCATATTTTTTTTGTCACATATTCACGGATATAAGCAAATCTCACTCTACTTAATGTTATTATTTTCAAAATATCTCTTCACTTAATTGAAATTGTATTTTTTAATTCTTGATATCAAGTTTTAAGAAATGATAATTTAATAAAATACTCTCTTTATTTTTTATTATAAGTAAAAAATAAATATTTTTTATTCTTAAATATAAACAAATTTTAATTACTTTTGTCTTGTTTAACGATATTTTTTCTAAAATATCACTCATTAAAGGCATGATCTTTTAATTTAACTATGTTTTTTTACATTCATTATAAGGATAATTTAGAAAGTATATTATAAAATTAGTAAAATTTAATGTAAATAACTAATTATATTAATATGGGTAAAATATATATATATATATATATATATATATATATATATTTTGTATATAATAAAGAACAAAGAGGGGGTAAGTTATTTTTTAGAGTGATTGACAAAATTAAATGATGTAAACAACATTTTTTAATTAATGTAAATTGATTTTGTTGTTGTTTATATTCAAAATCGAAGGGAGTGTTTAATTATGATAATTAAAAGCAATGCATTTATTGAGAGGATAATTTATTTTAGTAAAATTAAAATTGAATCAAAAAGTGATTATTATTGTCTTTCATATATGTATAAAATCCTTAAATTGTGGTCACTATGATAAAGAAAAGTAATTTCCTAAATTACATTTCTTTGAAATTTGATGTCAAAAATAAAAAAATATTAAAAATACAATCTCAATTAAATGAAGAAATATTTATAAGATGATAATATTAGATAAAATGAAATAAAATAAATCTCGTTTATATTTAAGATCAACAAATATATTTTTTTACTTACACTTGAAATCAAAGAGAGTATTAACAAACAAATTATCATAGTTAATATGATTTTTAAGGTAATTATTATAAATAAATTATATATCTGGTTGGAAGATACTGTAAATATATATATATATATATA